CTTAAGAGTTGCTACAGCAGAGAAGGATTTTTATAATCAGGTAGATAAAATGGTCTGTTCTCTGGACTTCCTTTAGCTTCTTTCCCCAGCATCTCCATCCTTGCCCAAAGGCCTCAGAGACCAAGGTGGCCAAGGCACCAAAGTGGCTCAAGGCCAAGGCATTGAGCCTCTGCACAATCTCTGTCAACCGCTGAGCCAGGGCAGCCCAGGTGGTGCAGTGGTTTAGCGCCGCCTGCAGCCCAGGGCGTGATCCTGGACCCAGGATCGAGTCCCATGTCTCCCTGCATGGAGCCTGCTTCTCCCTCTGCCTGTGTCTCTGCCTCTCTCTCTCTCTCTCTCTCTGTGTCTCTATGAATAAATAAGTAAAGTCTTTAAAAGAAAAATTAAAACAAAACAAAACAAAAAAAACCGCTGAGCCACCTGGGCTGCCCCCTGCTGGGATTTGAATGGGATTGTGTTCAATCTATAGATGAATTTCGACATAACTGACATCTTAACCACACTTAGTCTTTCAACCCATGAATGTAGCATATCCCTCTATTTAGTTAAGTCTTTTTTACTTTCTTTAACAATGTTTTTTTGTAACAAGTCTTGTGTACTTATTTTGTTAAATTCTTTCCTAATTATTATCTGGCCTGTGATGCTATTATATAAATAGCATGTTTTAAAATTTAATTTTCTAAAAAAATAAAAAAATAAAATAAATAAAATAAAATTTAATTTTCTGACAGGTGATTGTCAATATTTAGGAATATAATTGATTTATTGACTTTATACTTTATAATTTTTGCAAATTTTCTTATTTTAGTGATTTCATTGTATATTTCCTAGGATTTTCTACATACATACATTATTATATACCTGGAAAGAGTTTTACTTCTTCTAATCTATACCTTTCATTTATTTCTTTCTGTTTTGTCACATGGCACTCCAGTACAACATTGAATAGGATGGTGAAATAAGACAATTTTACCTATTTCTCGATGTTAGGTTAAAAGGGGTTTTTTAGCCTTTTATCATTAAGTGTAATGATAGCTTTGTGTTTTGTATGTGTGTGTTTTTATTTTTTAAAGATTTTACTTATTTCTTCATGAGAGACACAAGAAGTGAGAGGCAGAGACACAGGCAGAGGGAGAAGCAGGCTTCACGCAGGGAGCCCCTTGTGGGACTCGATCCCAGGTCTCCAGGATCACGCCCTGGGCTGAAGGCGGCGCTATACCGCTGAGCCACCTGTGCTGCCCTATGTGTGTGTTTTTAAAGTTCACTGAAAACTTGTAATTTTAAAAATGACCCATGGGGTTTGTAACGAATTCAGCAAATCATTCTAATATTTTACAACTGATATCAGCTTTTGCCATGCAATTTGAAAGATTCAGATGTGAAAATTTCACAGTCAACTCCACCCCTAGCAAAACCCCTCATGTTACATGGTTATAACTCTCAATTCTATACTAAAGTCTGCATTATAAAGCTCTGAGGCAAGCATCAAATAATTAAGTAGTAATATTTTAAGTGAGGACAGGTTTTCCATTATTTCCAAGGCTTGAATCTCCTTACGTTGTAACATTAAATTCAATATGATTGATGAAGTTTTGGAATATAGGTGAGGTCCGAAGCCGATGACCCAGAAAGAATTCTTGAGACGTTTTTGGTGCAAAATGGTGGTTTTATTAAAGCACAGGGACAGGACCCGCAAGCCAGAAGCGCTGCTGCCCCAGGGTTGTGAAGGGTGGAGTTGGAGGAGTTAAGCAAAAGGGAGATTTCAAAAGGGTTTTCATATGCTAAGGAGGACCTACGAGATCCTGGAGGCCTTGCCTTCTTCATGTTAAAGATAGTTTTTCCCTCTAGCAAAGTATTAACATTAAGACAACTGGAAGCTTCCTGAGGAATGTCACACATTTCCCACCCTGGGTGGGGGTTGTTTGTGGATATCAGCCGAGCTTTGTCCTCAGCTAGCCCTGTTCCCCCATCTTGATGACAAGTCAATTTAAAGAATCCCTCTTCTTATACAAAGTTCTACAAATTTCTTTTTTTGGTCATCTTTCTTCTTCCTTGTCTTTGCTCTTTGGCCTCTTTTTCTTGTTTTTGTGTTTCTGGCTCCCCCCTGCCCCAATTCTGTGCCAATGCCTGTGTGCTTCCTGTGTATTTTTTAAAAATGTTTCTTGTATTTCTTCTTGCTGTCCTGACTTCCTGCTGAGCTGGCACTGCCATTGTGGCTTTGGGCTTGGCTTCTAGAAAGACCGTCACATTGACCTGGATGGCAACTAGGACCACTTTGCTTGACTGCTGCTGTGTCCAGGCTCTTCTGCATCCTTCATTGTTTAGGCCCTTAGACATTTTGCTGAATTTTTCTCTTCTTTTACAGACAATGTGACTTTCACTGTCACCGTCATTATAGTCTGGCCGAAAAGCTGCTTCGTCGTTTTCTCTAGTTAAGTCAGAGGAGGGTCGAGAGGAGTAGATAGCGAGGCTTTAGGCTGGATAGATTCTAGTCATTTCACCTGCTCCTTTGCTCTTTTTTCAATATCTGTGTGTCTGATAGGTTAAGAATAGAAATTAATTTATTGCCACTTGCTTCTTTTTTGCTCCTTCTATTATGATCCTTCCAAGTACTTTTGTCTGCAGACTCTGTCTCTTCACTGGAGCATTTAGCATCATAAGTGGCTCTCTGCTCCTGAGATTTTTTTACTTCTTCTGGTACGTGAACTACCTTTTTGGGAAATGTCCTATTCCTTTTTTAGGCAACTCTCTCCTCTTTCAGCTTATTTTTCTGTTCAGATGCAGAAGCTCTAGGTATATATATATATATATATATATATATATATATATATATATATATACTTTTTATTAGGTTGAGAAAGCCCTCTTCTATTTCAGTGTTTTTGCTGAGAGGTTTTTTTTTTTTAATCATAAACAGTTGTTTAATTTTGTTGTTGTTTTCTATGTCTTTTGTGATGCTTATAACTTGTCTCTTAATTGTGCTATTATTGTTATGGATTACATTGAGCTTTCTTTCTTTCTTTCTTTCTTTCTTTCTTTCTTTCTTTCTTCTTTCTTTCTTTCTTCTTTTTCTTTCTTTTTTAAAGATTTTATTTATTTATTCATGAGAGACACAGGGAGAGAGAGAAGCAGGCTCCATGCAAGGAGCCCGAGGAGGGATTAGATCCCGGGACTCCAGGATCAGGCCCTGGGCTGAAGGCAGGCACTAACCCATTGAGCCACCCAGAGATCCCCAACATTGAGTTTTCAAATGTTAAGGCAACCATGCATTCCTGGAATAAATCCCACCATATCGCATGTATCACCCTTTTTAATATTGCTGGGTTCAATTTACTGATTTTTTGTTGTTAAGGATTTGTGGTCATGAGAGATCTTCATCTGTAATTGCATTATAATGACTTTTTCTCATCAGGATAATGTTGACATTATACAATGATATTCTCTCACCTCTTTTTTGAAAGTTTTTGTGTAAGACTGGTGCTATTTTCTCCTTAAATGTCTGATGGACTTCACCAGTGAAGCCATCTGGTCTGGCATTTTGTGAAAAAGTTTCTTAAAAAAATTATTATGAATTCAATTTCTTTCATAGACATAGGATCATTTAAATGATTTCTCTTTTTATGCCAGTTTTTGTAATTTGACTCTTTTAAGGAATAGGTAATTTCACTATGTTGATGACTATATTGGCATACCTTTGCATATATTATTACTTAATCATTTTAGTGTTTGTAGGACCTGTAATTGTGTCTCCTCTTTAATTCCTGATATTACTAATTTGTGGTTTTCCTTGATAACTCTAGAGGTTTATCAAATCTATTACATTAAAAAAAATACACCCTTTAGCTTAATTGATCTCTCTCCACTGTTTGCCTATTTTCTATTTCATTTTTCCTATTCTTGCCTTCATGTTTCTCTTCCATGTATTTTGGGTTTAAGCTGCTCTTTTTTTCTTTTGGAAGATTTTATTTATTTATGAGAGACAGGCAGAAACACAGGCAGAGAGAGAAACAGGCTCCATGCTGGGAGCCTAACATGGGACCCGATCCCAGGACTCTGGGATCATGCCCTGAACCAAAGGCAGACGCCCAAACGCTGAGCCACCCAGGCATCCCTAAGCTCCTATTTTCTTTCTACTTTCTTAATACAGAAGTTTATTTATTTTTAAAAAGATTTTATTTATTTATTCATGAGAGACACAGAGATAGAGAGGCAAAGACACAGGCAGAGGGAGAAGCAGGCTCCATGCAGGGAGCCCGACATGGGACTCGATCCCGGGTCTCCAGGATCAGGCCTTGGGCTGAAGGCAGTCCTAAACCACTGAGCCACCCGGGCTGCCCAAGATTTCATTTTTTTGATGGCTGAGTAGTATTCCATTTTGTGTGTGTGTGTGTGTGTGTGTGTGTGTCTCACATCTTCTTTATCCATTTATCTGTTGATGGACATCTGGGCTCTTTCCATAGTTTGGCTATTGTGGACATTGTTGCTATAACTCTGGGGTGCTGCATTTTTATATTTGGAGTAAATATACAAATATTTGGATTTGGAGTAAATACCCAGTAGTGCAATTGCTGGGTCATAGGGTAGCTCTTATTTTTAACTTTTTGAGGACCCTCCATTCTGTTTTCCAGAGTGGTTGCACCAGCTTGCATTCCCACCAACAGTATAGAAGGTTTCCTTTTTCTCCACATCCTTGCCAACATCTGTCATTTCCTTACTATTTTTTTAAAAAGATTTTATTTATTCATGAAAGATCCACACACAGAGAGGCAGAAACATAGGCAGAGGGAGAAGCAGGCTCCCTGCAAGAAGCCTGATGTGGGACTTGGTCCAACTATTTTGGGATCACACCCTGAAATGAAGGCAGATGCTCAATGGCTGAGCTCCCAGGCATCCCTCCTGACTTGTTAATTTTAGCCATTCTGACTGGTGTGAGGTGGTATCTCATTGTGGTTTTGATTTGTATTTCTCTGATGCCAGGTAGTGTTAAGCATTTTTCATGTGTCTGTTGGCCATTTGTATGTCTTTTGCGTGTCATCCTTGCGCAGGGGCCATGCTAATCTTCTCTGTATCGTTCCAATTTTAGTATATGTGCTGCCGAAGCAAGCACCATTTGTATGTCTTTTTTGGAGAAATGTCTGTTCATGTCTTCTGACCATTTCTTGATTGGATTATTTGTTTTTTGGGTGTTGAGTTTGATAAGTTCTTTATAGATTTTGGATACTAGCCCTTTATCTGATATGTCATTTGCAAATATCTTCTCCCATTTGGTTGTCTTTTGGTTTTGCTTTGCTGTGCAAAAGCGTTTATATCCTGATGAAGTCCCAATAGTTCATTTTTGCCTTTGTTTGCCTTATATCCTCTCTCCTGCTTCAGAGGAATTGTTGCTGCAAAGGGCCTCTTATGTTAGCCCCCTTCTCTATTTTTCCTCATGTGAAATTGCGTAAACTCTTTGCCAAGCATAAAGGATCTCTTCAGACTCAGCAGGTATGTTAGAGAAACTGGCTTTGAATTTGGTGCTAGTCCAGATGGATTAAGAAGTGGAAATAAATTGAAATGAGGATAAAGGGCATTTTAAATGATATCAGGAATCCCATTTGGTAAAATCAGAGTAAATTCTTCTTTTACTTCATTTTCCCCAAATTCCATTTTAAAGCAGGTGACCTTTTAAAGGCAGATGCTTCTGTTGTAGTAGGCATTGGATACATGACTAGCCTTCCTGGGCTTTCTCAGCAGGGATACAGACCTAACATGTGATCTAAGAGTGTTTTCCTTGAGTCCAGTTAGTGTTATTTGGTTCCAGATATGGAGAGGAGAGGGATAATTTCCTAGTCTAAGATGTAAGAGGCTTATTCTCACCTTTTCTATATTTTCAATTAATAAGCCTTTTGAAAAACATTTGGACTTCCACTTCCAGGTGGACTATAGAAATTTGCAAGAGACCATTACTCTCACTGTAACAAGGTAGGCTCAGTAAGCTACAAAATCATAGTTGTTAAAAACTAGTGAGAGAGCTGAGGATGCAAAGAATTTAAAATGACCTAATTCCAGAGTGTAAAGAGCCCCTTTAAGGAGAGTGAGTCTGCTTCCATATAAGGGTATTGGAATAGCAAACCTATTATAGATACAGGATTTTTGGAGTCGCATGAGAAACTAGTTGAACTAGTTGAAATTGGCATGAGCTGTCATGATGTATTAAAATTCCGAAAGACCTAACTGCAAAGTAGCACCCACCTGCAAATCCTCATTTATAAGACCTCACCAAAAGTATGGCTCTGGCCTGGTGAAGGTAAAGGGTGAAGAGAGATTTCCTAGCAGCACTCATTTGTTACTTTTTTCTACCTGAGTCTTCACTGAGTACATAGCAGCAACAGGGACATGGAAGAAGGACAGAGATCCCTTAAGGTACACCTGCCCATCAGTCCTTTCCAAAGGAACACATAGTTAAAGGTAGAAGACATGTAAAAGAGCAGGAAAATGTGACCTATAATCAAGAGGAAAAAATGGCCAGTAGAAACAGAACCAGAAATGACCCAGATGTCAGAACTAGCAGACAAAAATTTTAAGATAAGTATACCTCTGTTAAAGTGTCTAGTGGAAAATATGAGCAAAATAAGTAAAAATGTGCAAAATTGCAACAGAGAATCTGAAATTTCAAAAAAGAATAAAATGAAAATTCTAGAACTGATATGAAAATTCCATTTGAAGGATTTAACAACAGAACTTAAAGATAGGTTAATAGAATTTATCCAGGGGACGCCTGGGTGGCTTAGCAGTTGAGCATCTGCCTTTGGCTTGGGGTGTGATCCCACAGTCCCGGGATCGAGTCCCACATCAGGCTCCCTGCCTGGAGCCTGCTTCTCCCTCTGCCTCTCTCTCTGTGTGTCTCTCATGAATAAATAAATAAAATCTTTAAAAAAAATGATCTAAACTTATGCATAGGAAAGAAAAAATAAAATTTAAGATTCATTTACTGATTTATTCATGAGAGACACAGAGAGAGGCAGAGACACAGGCAGAGGGAAAAGCAGGCTCCATGCAGGGAGCCTGATGCGGGACTTGATCCCAGGACTCTGGGATCATGACCTGAGCCCAAGGCAGATGCTCAACCATTGAGTCACCCATGTGTCTTGTGAAACATTAAAATTTAAATAAAATTACAACAGACTTTCAGAGAACTGTAGCACAATATCAAACACCATAACACATGTATACTGGAGTCCCTACAAAAGAGAAGAAAGAAAATGGGGCACAGGGAATATCTGAAAGGATTATGCTTGGAGATTTTCAAGAAATAACAAAAAGTATCAATTCACAGATCTTAGAAACTCAGGAAAACCCAAGCAGAATGAATAAATACAAAGAAAACCATACCAAGGCATATTGTAGTCAAAATACCAAAAATCAAAATTAAAGAGAATGTCTTAAGCAGAGCCAGAGAAAAAAGGCACATAAGTTAAACAATACAAAAAATGAGGGCTAACTTCTCATCAAAAACAGTAGAATGTAGAACACAGTGGCATGGCTTCTTCAAAATGCTGAAATACAGGGGGTGGGAGTGACTGGGTGGCGGGCACTGAGGGGGACACTTGACGGGATGAGCACTGGGTGTTATTCTGTATGTTGGCAAATTGAACACCAATAAAAAATAAATCTATTATTAAAAAAATGCTGAAATAAAAAAAGCCATTCAAAATACCTACTTCAAGAATGAAAGAAAAGTTACATTTGCCCACAGAAAAAGGCTGAAAAAACTTGACTCTAGTAGACTTTCATGACAAGAAATCATAAGTTCTTCAGGCTAAAGGGAAAGATACCAGATGTAGCCTGGATCAGTAGGAAAGAACACTAGAAAGGGAAAATAAATGGGAAGGTGTGTGTGTGTAGCTGTAATCATTGTTTTAATTTACCCACCAGATATTTAGACTTACCCATGTTGGGGTGAGCTCTGCTCTGTACTAAGGACGGATACTGGTATATGGTGGTGACGCTCTCTGGTTTTGTTTGTTGACTACAGCTTCAGTTCACGCTGATGGTCACTTTTTTTTCCTGGGTAAGGAGTTTTATGTTGGGAGTTCTCTTCTTTCAGCACATGGAGATGGTCATTCTGCTGTCTCCCAGGTTCCACTGTGTTTGTTGGTTTGTTTTTCTGTTTTTTTTTTTTTTTTTTTTTTTTTTTTTTTTTTTTTTGAGAATTCAGCTGTCAGCCTAACTGGTACACTCTAAAGATTTCTCTTAGGTTTTTTCTTTGTCCTTGGTTTTCTGCAGTTTCACCATAAAATGTATAAACGTGGATTTCTTTTTTTTTAATATTTTATTTATTTATGAGAGAGAGAGAGAGTCAGAGACACAGACAGAGGGAGAAGCAGGCTCCATGCAGGGAGCCTGACGTGGGACTCGATCCCGGGTCTCCAGGATCACCCCCCCCCTCACCCCCCACCCCCCACCCCGGGCCGAAGGCAGGCGCTAAACTGACTGCTGAGCCACCTGGGCTGCCTTGGATTTCTTTTTAAAACTTTCTCCCTGGGATCTCTTTGGCTTCTCAACCATCCATTCTGGTATCGTAGTCTTAGTCTACGTAGGCTGCTATAACTAAATACCACCTACTGAGTAGACTTCTAGTCCTAGAGGCTGGAAGTCCAAGGATCATGGCCCAACATGATGGGGTCAGGGCCCTCTCCCTGGTTGACAGCTGGTGCCTTCTGGCTGAGTCATTACATGGTGGGTGGGGCTGGGGGTCCCTCTGCCTCTTTAAAAGGCATGACTCCCATTCAGGAAGGTTCTATCTTCCTGGATCAGGCACCTCCCAAAGCCCTCACATCCTGATATCACAATTTTTGAGGGTTAGGATTACAACATAGGAATTTGTTGGGGGGGGGGCACATCCAGACCCTCGCAGCATCTTGCGTTCTGGACACTTCTCAGTGCCCATTTCTTCACACATTCCTCTGTCCCTTCTTCTCTCTTTGCTTTTGGGATACCCCCCAAAAAACATATAGGTCAGACCTTCTCATGGTATCCTCTATGTCTATTTCTTTCTTTCTTTTTTTTTTTTTTTTTAAGATTTTATTTATTTATTCATGAGAGAAACAGAGAGAGAGAGAGGCAGAGACACAGGCAGAGGGAGAAGCAGGCTCCAAGCAGGAGCCTGATGTGGGACTCAGTCCCAGGTCTCCAGGATCATGCCCTGGGTGGAAGGCAGGCATTAAACCACTGAGCCACCCAGGGATCCAGTGAATGTCTCCATGTCTCTGCACACCTGGGACTTTCTGAGCAAAGGTTGATACCTGAGGTGAACAGTGTTAGAACGGAAACCATCTGCTCCCATTCAAAGGCTAACAAAATGTAGCTTCTCTGAGCTCCCCACCTCCCAGAGCCAGAGGCTTGCATTCTTCCCTGTTATACTTCTTAGATAATCCTTTACATTTCAGAGAGGGATAAAATTTGGAATCCTGGAACCATTTGTTTACATTCCAAAGGACAGTAAATGACTCCAGTGAATGCCCCCCCCCCAACCTCCTCTTAGGAAGAGAGGGTGCTAGCTGGGCATTGTGTAACCTATGTACACTGCCAGATTTCTAACTTCAGGGTGTCTCTCCTGCAGTGCAAAAAACGCTTTGCTCATGCGGCTCTAACCCATGGCTCTCACTGAGTGACTCTGAAGGCAGAAGAAGTCAGGAGTAGGGAACCGATATAGTTACTTGTGTAAGTTATAATCGGCCTCATCCCAGAACTTTATGATTTTAGTCAGGATAACAGACGTAACTAGAGGTATTTAAAACTTACCACTTAGATTTCCTGCTTTATTTTCCATCCCCTTGTCTTGACTATTCTCTGTGTGGTTTCTTCTGACCTACATTTTTGTTCATGAATTCTCTCTTCAGCCCTTGTAATCTACCATTGAGCCATTCATTTAATTGTTTTTTGTTGCTGTTAATTTTTTTTTTCTGTTGTGGTGGTGGTTGCACAAGTATAGGTCACCAGAGTGTATACAGTGAATGAATGGATTTTATTGTATATAAATTATACTTCAGTAAAACTGGTAAAAAGATAAAAAGGAAAGTGCACCTGGGTGGCTCAGTTGCTTGAGCATCTGACCCCTGATTTTGG